CCCCCCCCCTCTCTCTCTCTCCTCACCCCTCCTTTTCTCCTTTCTCCTTTCTTTCCCCTCTCTCCTCCCCTGCTTCTCAACATAACTTTTTCTCCCTGAAACAGTGATCTCAGTGGAAAATCTGAGTCCAGGCCAGACCTTCCCTGCAGTCCCACAGTTTGAGCACACAGACACACACAGATGTATGTCCACGGCAACCGTGCAACATCCACCCCCATCAACACCTTGCCAAATGACTCTACGCCTACACCTCTCTGCCTCCTTCCATGGAAGTGTCTCACTGCACCCCGAAACTCTTTCCAAAGCCCTCTCCAGGATCGGCCCACAAACAGCGCTAGATGGCACTGTGTCTCCTGCTTCCGAGGAAAGGGCAGTAAAGAGCTCCCCCTCCTCCTCCTCTTGTCTTGATTTTATGTTCAGGCCAGGTCTGGACGCCAAAGTCAACCAGATGTAGTCCAACTCCCCCGACTCCCCCAGCCTTCCACAGAAATGAGAGACTTACACAGAAAGAAAATACAAAAGGCTTCCAAGATGTGCGTCAGCTGCTTTTCATTAACTTAGATGAAATTACTCCAGTGTGCATCTATTTCTCGATTTTCATTTCTACATGGCACATGCTGGGTCCTACCTGTGTGAGGGAAAAGGAAAACTACAAAGCTTCTACTGATTTCTCATGATACATGTTCTAAAACATTAAAACATATCAGCTCCTGCACGCACTCTCTTTCCTGCATGCAAAGAAAAAAAAGCGCAATCTGTGCATATCAGCGCCTCCCTCACAGTCAGCCGGTTTATTTCAGAATCTTGTCCCTGTGGATCCCTTTTAAGGAAGCAGGCCTATCAGGGATTTTATGTAAACTTTCAGCCCGTGCGCGTTCTCGTCTATTCCTAATAATCGGCCCTGAAGAAAGCGCGTGAACTCCTCCTCCTACGTCTCCTCCTCCCTCGCAGTGCGCTCTGGTCCTCCTCTGCGCCCTCTGGATCTCGCCTCGGAGAAACTGCGCTGGATCGCCAAAAGTTCGCCGAATCGGTTTAGAGATACCGGGCAAGGGGCCGTAGAGGTTCGGTGTTTGTCCGGGAGCTGTCTTCTCTCGATTAATAGTGTTTTTGCGGTTTAACCATGGAGACTCTCCGAGGTCTCCTCGCGCTGCTGTGCGTTCTCCTGGCTGGAGCGCAACCGCAAAACCAAAAGGACAAGTTTGCGGGTAAGTTTGCTAAAAAATATGTTGTACTTTACAAGAAAATGCTTGAGTATCCAGTGTTTATGGCATTATTTAACATGTAAAGCTGTTTGAATGTAACATGTCATGTACTGATGATGTTTGCTGCAAGAGCTACAGTCCAGATGTTCATTGTCTTTGGGTTACGTACTTTCCGAAGTCTGCGAAGCCTTACCAATCAGCAGAACAGATGCAATAACAACTGAAAGTAAGATCAGATGATGACAGAAGCTGAGCCCTCCTTGAGCAGGCCCTTGTTTGCTTCCACAGCAGTCTCAATGGGCCTGAATAGTACGCTTTGGGTGTGATGCAGACTAAGATCTTACAGTGCTGTGGATGCGAAGGTAGTGATACAGGTAGACAAAAACCAGAACAGGTAATGGCACCTCAGGCCTGCTTCCCTGCCAAGGTGCTGTGCAACAGTTACAGTACAGGTGTATATGCAGACAGCCATGTTATGAGTACAGGCCCACACCTGTACAGATCTACCTGTATGAAGATGGATAGATTGGGTCAGGTGAGCTCCATGACACCCAGTGTGATGCAGGGATGCTCCAAGCAGCATCATGTAGGCCTCCAGTGCTGTGGTAGTGATACCTGTGCCGACTTGAATTAATGGGTGGATCATAAATGCATACTGGTTCATTAACACATAGATTTTACTTTGAATGTGCTATTTCAGCAGTTTTATGGTTCTTCAGTGGGTAATATTTGTCTGACAGCCATCTTTTGTTTGTTTGTTTGTTTGTTTGTTCTGTGAGCAGATTGTCCGGTTGACCTGTTCTTTGTGCTGGATACATCTGAGAGTGTCGCCCTCAGACAGAAACCTCCCAATGTTTATATTGACCAGATCAAAGGATTCACCAATCTCTTCATAGATGAACTCAGGAACAAGTAAGACGCACACACAAACACACACATTTAATGATGGAAGAAGCATTCAGATCCTTTACTCATAAAAGCAACAATAGCACAGTGGAAATATACTCCATTACAAATAAGAGTCCTGTGTTCAAAATGTTCTTCAAACAGTAACTTAACACCTGTGGTTTAACTTCTCACCTTGCAGCAGTGATGTACAGGTGTACTCTAAGACACTGTGACATCACAGCTGGGTGTGGTTACATGTACAGCTTCTGACCACACCCATCACTGATTGAAATTTTTAATGCATAATATTGTATTTGGTCATCATTACAGGTTTTGTATGTAAAATTGGAATCTGCAGAAGTAATTAGTAACTGAAGCTGTCTGATAAATTGAGAGTAGTAAAAAATTACATTACATTACATGGAATTACATTCCACCACTGCCTCTGTGTCCTATTTGGAGATTACTGCCACTTAAAGGTCCAGTGTGTAACATTTAGGAAGATCTAGTGTATAATCACCTGAAAGAAAATGAATCGTAGTGTTTTTGTTACCTTAGAATTAGCTGTTTTTATCTACAGAGTTAGTGGGTCCTCTTCTATGGAGTCCACCATGTTAATCCGCCATGTTTCTACAGTATCCCAGGACAAACCAAACACTGTCTGTAGATAGGGCCTTTTGCGAGTTTTGTAAACACCATAGTTTCCACCAAATCCTACACACTGGTCCTTTACCACCTCTATTTATGCAGGCCCCACCGATGTGATCGCACCCTGACATGGAACTCAGGAGCACTGCACTACAGTGACGAAGTCATCCTTGTACGAGAGCTGAGTGACGTGGCGACTGAACGCGACATCCTGAAGAATGCCATCAGTGCCATCGACTACATCGGCAAAGGCACATATACTGACTGTGCCATCAAGAGGGGCCTTGCTGAGCTGCTCATTGGGTAACAATAACACACATATAGCAGATTAAGTAATAAGAAGTGTGATATCATTTCCTCATATGTGTTTGTGTGTCTGCCTGCATGCAGTGGCTCCCACTATCATGAGAACAAGTACATCGTGGTAGTGACTGATGGCCATCCTATTACTGGTTACAAAGAGCCATGCGGAGGCGTGCAGGAGGCTGCTAATGAAGCCAAGCAACACGGAGTCAAAGTGTTCGCTGTCGCCATCTCACCTGACCAGGAGGTACAAAACACACACACACACACACACACACACATTTGTATTAAAGTGAAGGGGAAGTGAAGTAAAATTAAGTAAAATACAGTGAAGTAAGGTTGAGTGAAGTAGAGTACAGAGAAGAGAAGTGACTCAAAGTGAAGTGATGTGAAGCAAAGAGAAGATTGGTTAAGTACCTTAAACTAAAG